AAAGAATGATAAAGATGCCTATACATCGCAGGTGTCCCTACTGTCAAAAACTCAAACTTTCACGTCGATAATTTTCAGATTTCAAAATAATGTAATATCTTCTCAATATAGATTCGTCCTTACTTCTGTCACAGAAAAAAATAGTGTATTATACACGGGAAAAATATTAGATTTTAGCTCACGGTTTTTTGTCTCCCTCCGCTACGCGTCGGGAGACAACACAACCTGGAGCTAAAATCTACTACTTTTTCCCTTGTATAATAAATAACTATTTTTCCGTGACAGGAAAAAAGTTTGGCATTTCACCTCTGTTGGCAGGTTATAAAATGTCACTTTTCCGGGAAAAAAGTGAGACTCTTTTCCCGGATATATATCACATATATATACACTGTGGATGGCTTTTGTTGTGCTCTAGTTCCGAAAAATGAGTCAATAATACCGTCTCCGAGAAAGAACTGCAAGTCCTTTTATCTTCCATTCGACTTCGCGGTTACCTACGTATATTACTAAACAACCACTATATTCGCAATTTTTTGAAATCCAGTCACAGAATTAGACTGACAGAAGTGACATCAGATATTTGATTACTTCCAGATTTCAAAATAATGTGATATCTTCTCAATATTGATTCGTCCTTTCTTCTGTCACAGAAAAAATAGTGTATTATACACGGGAAATATATTAGATTTCAGCTCACCGTTTTTTGTTTCCCTCCGCTACGCGTCGGGAGACAACACAACCTGGAGCTAAAATCTACTACTTTTTTTCCTTGTATAATAAATAACTATTTTTGTCGCTATGCAAAACGGATTTTTCCCGAATTTCTCGAGTTTTTCCTATTTCTTAATTTCAATATCTTAAGGAATTTAATAACATTCAGCTGAAGATGCTATATAGGTTCGAAATATGTACTAAGAATTAATAAAGAACAATATTTGAAATTGTGGGAATGACTTACTTCAGGGTTTGTATGAAAAAATGATTATTCAATAATGACCGTTGAAATGTTTCAATTTGCTCTCTGCATATATGTTAATTAACAACAAATATGAACCAATAAAATAGTGGTAATTCAGGAAATCTGGTACTAATTGGTGGCTGCAGTGGGGGGATATCATAGATGGAATTTTGTGAAATAGGAGTAGACTATTTTAATTGCTGTCAGTTAATGTCCACAGATACCTTATATTGGATTCCATCATATCATTTTGCATCTCAGAAATATCAAGATATCTGTACTATTAGATAATGAACCATCACAATTGAAACATAGATGTCCAGAATTATACAGGAAGGCTTATTACGTTACGTTACCTACCTAAACGCCGGACGATAAAGTAGTCCACTTGACGCCCGCGGAAAAACCCGGCGATAAAGTGCTGCTTCACGCCCCGTCGTGGATAAACTAATTTTTCACTCGAAAAACCATGTATTTCAGTCAGCAATAATGATAGTGCGCCCTGCATGACGAAATAAGCAACGATAATAATTTATTACCTATTTCAAATTCAGTCTGGACCAAAACTAGAAATTTTTTAGAAACAAATAAGGAACACAATACGAATTGACTTATCGTCTCTAGGGCATCGCTTATGAAATTCAAAGTTATAATGATTTTACCACGCCTTTCAGAATAATAATACGGTCGAAACATTGTTGCATGATTGATTGCTACCCACAAACTGGTAAGTGAGTTCAAGGCAAAAAATTGGCGATCCTAAGCTCCGCTAATTTACCAACCGTAGTATTCTTACGACCAGAATTCTTTTCTTTTTCTTTCATCTTATGAGGATAGGGAGAGATGGAAGAAGCTCGGTATTAGAATATTTTTTGAACACTTGGAATAAGTCCTTGGAAATACTTGTCAAGCTCTGCCTTCCTAGGGATGTACAAATAAGTTGCCGGTTTATAGCATTTCCAATGCATTAGGAACGAGATGTCCTCGAAACAGTCGACCAGCTCAAAATTAAAAAAATACACACGTTTGATAAACAAATATCCAAATGCGGTTGTACACACTAGTCGAATTTACGCTATTTTATATTGTTCATTCCGTGATAAATAGCGTTTGATGCAATCATTCATTACTTGAAATCATCACGAATTTTTTTTTCAATAATTAAAATCGGCCCTTTCGAAACACGCCAGCTCTCTTATGAATTCTTGCTCTCGCATCTCATAACCATATATTTAGACGCTGCCAAATTTATAACTAGTAATTACCTTACGAGATTTAATATGACCAACGATAACACTATTCAAATTCACAGAAAACAATGGTTTCACCTGGTTTTCATAGAGATATTTACGAAAGGTGGATGGGGATTTATAAAAACTTTCGACACCTTTTTCAAAATGCACTTAGAATATCTATGAAACTTTCTAGACTTTCTGCTATGAAAATTTTCAAAACTTCTTGATGTATGTTTCTTTCCAACATGTCTGGTTATGTCTACTTACTACAATTCTCATTGAACTTTTGAAAATTAGATGAAACTTTCGAAGTTCCTATGGAGCTGAAATCTCTATGGACTTTTCGAAAATTTTGTACAGACCTATTCGAAATTTCTGGAAAAGATTTCTAGAGAATTTGGGAAATCCTGAATTTTTGTGGAGCCTTTTGTAACAGTCAGAAATTTCTGTGAAACTATTCAAATTGTCTATAAAACAATTCAAAATGGCTGTAGAACTGTTCAAAATTTGAGTGAAACATTCCCTATTGAACTTTTTAATTTTGTGAACTTTTTCAAATTATCTGTAAAACGTAATTTTCTGTGGAAAATTCGAAAAATTCATGTGGAGCTTTCAGAATGGGCTTATATCACAAAAAAAATTTATTTCATAATTCGATAGAACTCACCCACACTAGCTCACCACCGCAAACTGTTTCTTGCTATGAGCTCCCTACGTTTTATAAAAAATTATTGAAATCTCCGATTTTTCGGACCTCTGAAAACGAGGCGATGATGTGACGTCAAACCCCTAATACTGAAACAAGACTATTCCAGACAGAGATGAATGATACATGATTTCTGACAGAGTGAATTAGCGCGAGATCAACGTTTGGTATTTTCTTTCAACTATGGTGAGATGAGGTTTCTACGTCATGAGAGGGTCCGTTTTCAGAAGGTACTATTATTTAAGTCTAAAAATGAAACATTCCAGTTGATTTTTCGATCGAATTATGTCGTCAATCATTACTTATGTATAAAAGGATCATTATAAACATGGTTTGAGTTAAAAGTTCTACTAAGGTTTACACGCCCATTTCATGTGGAACTTTTAAATTTCCTGTGAAACTTTCAAAATTTCTATGGAACTTTCAAAATTTCCTGTGGAAAATTCGAAAAATCCATGTGGCGATTTCAAAATGTCATGTGGAACTTTCAAAGTTCCTGTGGAACTTTCAAATTTTCTGTGGAAAATTCGAAAAATCCATGTGGAGCTTTCAAAATTCCATGTGGATTTTTAAATTCTTTGTGGAACTTTCAAAATTTGTTGTGGAACTTAGAAATTTCCTGTAAAACTTTCAAATTTCCTGTAAAACTTTCAAATTTCCTGTGGAACTATCAAATTTTCTGTGAAACTTTCAGAATTTTCTGTGAAACTTTCAGAATTTTCTGTGGAACTTTCGAAAAATCCATGTAGAACTTTCAAATTTTCCTATGGAACTTTCGAAATTTCCTGTGGAACTTTCAAAATTTCCTGTGGAACTTTTCAAAAGGTCGTAATATTTCAGTTTCTCACCCGTCGACGGTGCCGTACTCGGCCACCAACTCCGCTGCCCTGACAATGGTTTCACCTGGGGTGAGTGGTTTATCATAGAGATATTTACAAAAAGTGGATGGGGAATCATAAAAACTTTCGAAACCTTTTTTAAAATGTACTTAGAATATCTATGGAACTTTCTAGACTTTCTACTATAAAACTTTTCGAAACTTCTTGATGTATGTACCTTTCCAACATGTCTGGAACTTCTAATTATGTCTACTTGTTACAATTCTCATTGAATTTTTGAAAATTAGATAAAATTTTCGAAATTCCTATGGAGCTGAAATTTATGGATTTTTCAAAGATTTTGTACAGACCTATTCGAAATGTTTTTAAACATTTCTGGAAAAAGATTTCTAGAGAACTTGGAAATTTCTGGATTTTTGTGGAGCCTTTTGTAACAGCCAGGAATTTCTGTGAAACAATTCAGATTCAGAATGGCTGTGGTACTGTACAAAATTTGCGTGGAACATTCCCAATGGAACTTTTAAATTTTGTGAACTTTTCCAAATTATCTGTGAAACTTTGCAAATATCTTGTGGAACTTTGAAATTTCCTGTGGAACTTAAAATTTCCTGCGGAACTTTCAAATTTCCTGTGAAACTTTGAATTTTTGTGGAACTTTCGGGAAATCCATGTGGGGCTTTCAATATTTCCTGTGGAACTTTCAAATTTCCTATGGAACTTTCAAAATTTCTTGTGGAACTTTCGTATTTCCTGTAGAACTTTCAAATTTTCTGCGAAACTTTCGAAGAATACATGTGGAACTTTCGAAATTAACTGTGGAACTTTCAAAATTTCCTGTGAAGCTTTCATTATTTCCTGTGGAGCAATCAAATTTGCCAGTGGAACTACAAAATTTATTGTGGAACTTTCAAAATAGCCTGTGGAACTTTCAAATTTTCTGTGGAACTTTCGAAAAATCCATGTGGAACTTTCAAAATTTCTTGTGGAACTTTCGTATTTCCTGTAGAACTTTCAAATTTTCTGCGAAACTTTCGAAGAATCCATGTGGAACTTTCGAAATTAACTGTGGAACTTTCAAAATTTCCTGTAAAGCTTTCATTATTTCCTGTGGAACCATCAAATTTGCCAGTGGAACTACCAAATTTATTGTGGAACTTTCAAAATAGCCTGTGGAACTTTCAAATTTTCTGTGGAACGTTCGAAAAATCCATGTGGAACTTTCAAAATTTCCTGTGGAACTCTTTAATATTTCAATTTCTCACCCGTCGACGGTGCCGTACTTGGCCACCAACTCCGCCGCCCTGTCTCTCGTCAACCCCGCGTGGAACCACGGCTGCGCCACGTGCACGCCCGTCTCCATCGCCTGGTGCACGTGCGTCTGCACCAGCGAGGCGGCGGCGCCCGCCCCTCCAGTTGGGGGCGGGCGCGTGTAGCCGCCCCGCCAGCGCCGCTTCCACGAGTAGCCCTCGGCGGCGGCGATGGCGGTCGCCTCCTGCGGGTCTTCGACTATTCTGCCGACGGCGCCGGTGAAGTCCATGGCCACGCGCGATCTAACGGATTCCTGCAACGAAATAAGAATGATGAATGAATGAATGAATTATGAGAGGTCGTAGACCAATCACTATATGCTCGGACAGCAAAGCTGCAATACTGGCTTTGCAATCCAATAGGATCACATCCAAATTGGTGTCCGAGTGCAGAAAAGCCTCGGAAAACCTGGCAAAATCAAGAAAAGTCAGCCTCATGTGGGTCCCGGGACATTCGGGAATACCCGGAAACGAGGAGGCAGACAGACTGGCAAAGATCGGTTCAGGACGGACCTCGGTCGGACCGGAACCAATCTTGGGAATACCAAATAGCCTGGCAATGTCCTCTATAGAGAAACAGCTGCAAAAGCAATTCCTCAAAATATGGCAGGACACACCAGGAATGAGACAATCGAAGCTCCACATAAAGGAACCTTCGAAGAGGCTCGCAAAAGAGGTTTCATTCCTAAACAGGCGAAACCTTAAAATGGTAGTGGGGCTCCTAACGGGGCACAACCACCTCAATAGGCACCTAGAGCTTATTGGGATCAAGGATGACCCCCTTTGCAGATGGTGCCTGGAAGATGACGAAACGTCATCACATGTCCTCACTGAGTATCCAGCACTGACGCATCAGAGGAGGGCTGTCCTTGGCAACATAATTTTGAGGCCAGAGGAGATTCAGATGGGGAAGCTGCTGAACTTCTCCAAGGCAGTCGGCATACCCAGCTGAATGTCGTAACATGTGGGCGCACAATGGGCCCGAATAAGGAGGCCCACGTGCAGGGGGTTCACCCGCCCACCAGTGCTTTGAAGAAGAAGAAGAAGAAGAAGAAGAAGAAGAAGAAGAAGAAGAAGAAGAAGAAGAAGAAGAAGAAGAAGAAGAAGAAGAAGAAGAAGAAGAAGAAGAAGAAGAAGAAGAAGAAGAAGAAGAAGAAGAAGAAGAAGAAGAAGAAGAAGAAGAAGAAGAAGAAGAAGAAGAAGAAGAAGAAGAAGAAGAAGAAGAAGAAGAAGAAGAAGAAGAAGAAGAAGAAGAAGAAGAAGAAGAATGAATGAGTTATGTTCGTATGTAATACGATAAGGGTGTTGAGTATTGGTGGATAAATTTATCGATATATCGAAAATTATCAATTATACAGGGTGTCCGCTAGAAGGAGGTCAATCTATTAACCATATATTCCTTGAACAAAAACAATATGAGTTTCCGAATACCATTTTTCATTGTAGCCCTTCATATTCGATATACAGGGTGTCAAAGTTGGAAATTAAAAACTGTTTTTTTTTTCAATTACTCGCGTATTTAATTCGATATTAAACTCAAAATTGGTAGATTACTTCAGCACGAAGAGTAACATCGTGTGAGGAGAACAAAACAAAAAATAACTGTCAAATATTCAAAATACTAGGGGTCAAGTACACACTTACCCTCATATTATTTTAATTAGAGTTATGGAGTAGAACAAATGGGTTTTTGCAATTTTCAACTAGCACCTGAGCCCAGAGGGTTCATCGAGGAAAAAACTGATTGTAAGAAGTTTCATTTACTTTCATTTTGAATGAGAGAGTTTTTTACAAATAGTTGATAGTCATGTTCGTTTGCGTTCGCTCTATCTGCTAAACTTGACTTTTTTCTATAGCTTCCTTTGTTTACATTATGCCATGCATGAACAGAGGCAACTATATAGGAAGAAGATCAACTTTAGCAAGTTAGACAACACAAACGAACAGACCTTATATTTTTCGAGTTATAAGCAAAAAACCGCCAGAGAATCATCTTTTATACGTTTTTGGGATTTTTTTTAATGCTGCATCACGAAATTATATTAGCAAATAGCAAACCTCAGATTATGATTCAGTACCCCAAAACACATAATCAATCAGCTAACCAACGAATTGCGATATTTGATTCAAGTGATTTTCCATTACAAAAATATAACCACACATCATGTATTTCGAGTCATTTATCGCGATTTTATACGTTAATTTCGAGTGTAATTCACACCTGCCAAAAACCAGGTGGAGATAAACTATACTGGTGTGAACTGTGAAATGCAGCTTTCAAAACAATGTTCAAATAAACTGTGAATTACCCTTATGGAAAAATGTTACACTTTTCTGCGAATAAAGATCCTAATAATATGAAAATGACTCGCACATTCTTTGTCCATCTTACCTCGTAAATGAGTTGGACCTCGTCATCTGTCTCGGTGTCACTATCACTCGAATCAAAAGAGTCCAACCTTTTTCTCTTACTCGTTAGACACATAACGATATCGAAACAATTGAAATAACTGTTGTTACACACTATTTTCACTTTATTTCTGATCACGATGACGAATTCCCGTAAAAAGTTCAAACTGTAATGCGAAGCAGCACAAAAATTCATTTCGGGAACGACAATGCAAAGCAGCAAATCATTATGAAAAATGATGTCCTACAGAACGGCACTCTTAGGTATACCTATCCCAATCACTTAGACGTTAAACCCTCATTAAAAGCTAGAGGTGATTACGATAAAGATTGAAAATACAAATACACTAATGATTAATAAATTGTCCCAATTACAAAAATTATGAAACACAACACCTGTCGATGAATACGTAGGTTATAAGTTACCATTGCTGAAATCGTTACTGTTTCAATAAATGATATGAAGGATACTTAGGTATATTGTTTGTGTTCAATTATTGCACTAGAGTATTATAAACAAATGTTTTATTCAAGTATACCTATTTGTTAGGTATACTAAAACTCGAACATTTCTATTTCTTCATTTAACTTGATTTTTTGTGATTTTTTTCCTCGTTTCTATGAAATAAAAATATTCTTATGATTTCAATATATTTGTAGTGGGACAAATCAGATGATTTGCCCCAAAAATGTCACTGCGTTTAACAAATTTTCCTATCAGGGAGCCTAAAAGAAAAATCCAGTAGTCGGTCAGTGACACTTTGTTTGAAAACATGTTTGAAGGAAAGAAATATAGATATATTGAAAAAATATCGAATATTTACTTATCTTTGGACGTTTCGGGATCGAATCGGCTTCCTGTTCAGTTGATATAGATAGAACATGGTATATTCACTACTGAAAACAGAACATGAAAATGGTAGATTCAAGATCAATTTATGAAAACATCCTGTAACTCATTTGTAGACTAAAATCACTCATTCGTATGTCAACATGAGTATGACACTGAGAAGTGTCAAACTAGAAGCATCAGAGCACAACTTCCAAAGAAAAATATTTTGCATTTTCATGTTTAGAACGGGAGCAGATTCCTTCCCGAAACGTCCAAGATAAGTAAATATTCGATATTTTGTCAATATATCTAAATTTCTTTCCTTCAAACACTTTTTCAAACAAAGTATATCACTGCCAAGCTACTGGATTTTTCTTTTAGGCTCCATAGAAAAATGTTTTAAACGCAGTGACATTTTGGGGCAAATCATCTGATTTCATACCTCAGCGAATCGAAGAGTTTTAATCTTCTACGTCAGATAAGAAATTCTTATTCACAAAGTTTAATAAGAAAGCCATTTCGATAGAAATTCATATATCCTATGGACTGGACACATTTACAACTAATATCACTTATACGATGCATGCAGTTGCATAGAATTATATATTATGTTCTCAATTACCATTCGCTTCGAATTATTTTGTGGGTTAGCAGGTAGGTTAATCTAATTTTCGGAATTTGTTTTATCGCTTGGAGCGCACGAAAGGAAATCCCTATAATGTTCAAAGAACATCGTGCGTTCCTAGGGAGGATAGGGACAGGAGGTAGGTATTCGAATTTTTTTTTAACTTCTGGAGATTATATGTTGTTGGGAATACTTCCTCAGGCAATGAATTCCAGAGCCTAGCCGTTCTATGGATGAAGGAGTTTTGATAAAGTGCTGTTCGACATCTTTCGAGGTTGACAACGAAAGGATGTGCTGACTGGGCTTGTCTAGTTTGTCTGACTGATCTTGCTAGTGAAGGGATGATAGCAGAGATTTCTGAAAAACATTTCCCGTGGAAGTATCAATAGAGAAGCATAGAAAGAAAAGAAATATAATGATAACAGGTAATAAGTTGATATATTATCGTGTTTGTTGGTAAGAACAGATTCCAATTCTGCCTACGGTGAAACGAATTTTATGCGCCTAAGGTTTTCTATCCAGCTAACCAGCTGTGTGATTCAATCGAACTAAGAAAAGGAAAAACTCTTGAGCTCGAACAGATTGAATCTTTTTTAATCGGCTTTTAATGACGATTGAGTCATGAGGGGCAGAAGAGGGATTAATTTTCCGGTTGGTGATTATTACTGACTTTTAATATACCTACTAAAATAATGTAATTCGTACCTACTATAGATGGTCATAATCGTTCATAGTCGGAAATGGGTTTTCTAAGATTAATCAAAAAATAGTTTATGCAAATGAATTGGGCTACATTCTTGTTGATTGCCAGTACCTAATTACTTTGAGAACGTTCTCTCAAACCTAGTTTAAATTAATTGTTACCTATTTTATCCGATTACTTATGTCTTTCCGTATATTTCGACAGCATCTACATTTATTATTGAAGATAGAAAATGCCAATGTTATACTGGGTTCGTCCTGAGCCACCAAAAAATTCTACCAGATAAAACAATATAAGAAAAGCATACCGACATACAAAGCATCGTGAGTATCAATAGAACACCCTTTATATTTTCGAAAAGGTTGGACTAAGGGGAGGTTTTTCGGAAGATTTCCTGTTTTTGAGAAAATGCTTGTGCTAATACAGTTGGGACAACCTGTCAACCTGTACCATCTCAACTCAATATAGAGATATCTAAAATGGTATTGGTTTCATCGGTCATGTTTCATGGCCCAAAGTTCATTAATTCGGAATACGCAAAAATTATTAAATTCACCATTGAGATATGTATATAGGTGTCTCTGGAGTGCATTTCCAAGTTAGCTCACTGAACTGAATTCATAAATTTCACATGGCAGTCGAAGTACTACATTGCTGCCTAGTAAAACAAATAACTGTTGATGGA